AATATTATTCATTTTTAATTATAACAGTATTTAAAATATTGTACTTATTGTCTATATTTTTTATTTAATTACAAACAACAAAACAACAAATTAATTACAATTATTTAATAACTTGACTAATTGTTCAACTGCCTCATTATTATATAATCTTTCGCCTCCTTTTTGTTTCCAATATTAATCTACGAGTTTATATCTATCAACTGAAATTTAATTTTGCCATTCAAGACCTTTCCAAGCAGTAAAAAACTCTGTGATCTTACATGGAAACCCGAATTGTGTTTTGAAGTATGCATTACACCACCCAAAACACTCATATGTCGTGATAACAAAAAGTATATAATTGATGGTTTTTTGTTGTGTTCATTTTTTCAATTTTCGGGCGCCACATGTTTTGGCTTTGTACGCATGTAGTTAATGTTATATTGATCATCAGCATAATAATATTTCGACTCATTTTAAATTCAGTCAATTTTGCATTACTCTCGACATCACTTTTAATATGAAATGTCAATTTATGTCTGGCTTTGTGTCTCTGTGTATTATCCCATTTTCATATAAGTAAAAAATTGCTTTAGCTCCATCAATCAAAAAGTTAATTTGCACATGTGGAGCTAAGGTTTTTTCTTTCTACTCAAATACCAATTGGATAATAATGAACAAGTTTTTTATTTATTTTTTTAAAAATGGTCCAAATATAACTTTTTATATTTCGTTTTTACAATAATATAAAAATTATTAATTATTTGTCGAAACCATAATTCTGGTCTAAACCTTAGTACGACTTTTGTATTACTTTGTTTATTTGTACTTTTAAATTTTAAATTACAGTGTTATTCACTGGGTTTTCAATTCCCACCATTTTCAATAATTATTAAGTCAGTTTATTAATTATTTAGTCAAAAAAATAAATTATTTCTTTATAAAATGTTATAAAAAATATTACAATGAAATTAATTTAAAGATTATCTTGAGCATACACCTTTATCCAAACTTCATTTCTACATCTTTGCATTGTCGCATTAATTTCGTGTAATTATTTTGAAATGCTGTTTAACAATGTGAATAAAATGAGTAATGCGGTTTTTGCGGTTTTAATGGTTCAAAGGATATATACTTCCCACTTTCATCAACTTTGTCAGCAAAGCAGCGCAATGAATAGGTATTCCAAAAGTCTGTTAAAAATCTTCATGTTTCTGGTCAGGTTTCTTTCTAGACTCTTCAACAAACAGTTGCTTGAGCTTCAAACCAATTTTGGTGTATTGGTGCTTTTAGTGTTCTGGATGTTCTGGCCCAAATTTCTTCGGTCTTCATCTTGGATTTGGTTGTATTGGAGACGGAATGAATAGTTGAATTGCAAATGATTGGAGCAGAGTACCCAGTAGAGGTGTAGGCGTTAACTGTCTATAATCGGTCCGTACACTTGAATCTGTGAGATCAACGTGATCTACTGATGCTCGGTTCATTATACTTTGAAATAGTTTTAATGTTGATTTTTATTTTTTTGTTGAAAGTGAAATAATTCAGAAAAAACTTTAATAATTCTAAATGACGTGAACATATAAGTTTGTGGTGCGTCTATTTATTTTTGTGAATGAAATATAAAAATTATAATATTGAAATTATTTGTGATGGTATTAATATTTTTTTGCATGGTCTATTTATTAATTATGCTGGACTAATAATTGTAGGTGGTGTTTAATTAAAATATGTGACAAAATAATTTATTTTTTTGACTAAATAATTAATAAACTGACTTAATAATTATTGAAAATGGTGGGAATCGAAAACCCAGTGAATAACACTGTATACAAAAAATAATTGTGTAATTATTTAATAATTATACACTAAACATATCAAATTTAACAATTAATCACATTCAAATTAACAAATAAATTATGATTATTTTCGGTGATGTTTATCAAAAATGATTTAATTGAGGATGTTGTACAGTTGGCGAAAAAAGTCGGAAACCAAATAATTGAAAGAAGTAAAGCAAATAGTTTTAAAACTCTTTAATAAAATAGATTTAAATGTTAGAGTATTATTTAGTGAACTTTTTCCATCCTTTTTCCTTTTAATTTAATAAGTAATTGATGGGAAATACGTCCTTCTGAAAATTATTTGGCCAACTGAATATCTTAGCATGTAATTTTAATTAGAATCTAGTTTTATGAACATTTAAAACATGGGACATATTTTTTTGAAATAACATGGAATTTATCATATTGTTTAACTAAATTTGATATTTTAAATACATTTTTATGTGTTACAGTTTTTCTAACAAGCCTTATGGAAAAAGCCTGCCTTCTGAGATAATTTTCCCATTATTTCTATTATATAAACCATATATAAATTATTTATATTATTAACAAATTGGTTATTTGCTCCAAATTAAAACATTATTCCAAATAATGTTTTTAATATTATTTGGAAAATATATAAACTATTGATTATAAATTTGTTATGATTAAATTAACCACATTTTGAAAAAAAATCAGAGAGAAAGTTTTTAATAATGCTAGATTAAATGACTGTAATATTATTTGTATTTAATACATTGTTAATTGTATTTAACCAAAATAATCATAAACAATGAATTGATCTCATGAATTTTACAAGTTTAATTGCACAACACACCAACAAACAGACAAAACACTTAATTCATTTAGTTTCAAATAAATATAAAAACGTCTTATTTTTGTAAACAAACTGTTCTGTTATTCAGAGTATTTGTTTTATTTTAACCAATAAAGTAACTAAAATAATTTATATTTTAAATAGTTATAAAAAATTAAATAATAACATAAATATTATTTTGTTTTTCTATTTGAAACGAATTTTCAAAACAAAAATAAAAATTATAAAAATAACACAATTTGGAACATAAACCCTCAAAGTCGACAAATTGTACTGTGAAACACATAACAATTAAAATTGATTCTAAACTTAATTATATATTTGGTGTGTTTCCCGGAGTTTGGACTGTTTTTATGGAGACAGAACATAAGACAATTTTTATAATTCCTGTGTTATTCAGTAACAAAAACTTAAATATAAAAATCAAAATCAAATATTAAAACCAATAGTTGTTTTATTAAATGGTTATTACATATTTATTTTAATATTGTCAAATATTTTTTTTGGTGAATATCAATTGGGTAGTTTATTGTGTATTATTATCTTCATCAATAAATATATAAATGTGTATTATCCATCTTCAAAAACAATGGAAACATTATCATATGTTAGCGAGAAGATCAAATGTATAAATGAGCGAACACAGCTATCATATCTTCAGTGCTCTCTGCTTGCTTTCATATCAATGAATAGACGTGTTGTTGTTGGACACCTCAAGAAGCCGAGTAAATACTCCAACAAATTCATCGAGATTCAAAAGGTGTTTTTTGACAACGATGAGTATTCTTTTGTGTTCAATGTTCAGAGTTTTCTTGCCAAACGAGCACAAGAACGGATGTCCAGTTACAACAAGAAGAATTCAAGTGGAAAATGGGTTCTGCAAAAAGTGAGAAGTCAAAAGAAGCGGGAGTGCATTCATCTTTTGGAAGACATTCTTTTTGAAGATGGATTTGTTGTGATGTATGACACAGAGAATCGGGAGGGGATTGGTGGGAATGTATTCATTATACTTCCTGATGGGTCTGTTATGGACAAAGTGATGATAAAAAGACTTGGACAAACAATTTGGAATTACTGCGAAGTCGAAAAGAAAGATACAAAAGAGATTATTTTGAATAATGGTGTGGTGATGACACTTTTATCCAGAGAAATTACTAATTAGTATGTATTTTGTGTTTGTATTATTTTTGTTGTTTGTTTGACTATTTAACAACTTTTAGAGAAAACTAACTATATATTTATTGATTTATTTAATTCAAATAATTTAACGTTTACAAACTAATCAAATATAACAGTTAAAAAAGACACTTTCACAATTCATTCTGGGAGTTAAAACTATATATTTTACATATATTTTCAACATTAATATCAATTTTGTTTTTTTTTTAATTATTTCAATGTTTGTAACATTTATAAAATAAATAAAAACTGGTTTCGATGTCGAAATTTGCGTTAATCATTGATTTGTCAATGTCTGAAATGTAATTACTGTTATAATTAAAACTTTTTATAATCAAGATTATAGTAGTTTAGTTTATATTTCAATTCATATTAATTTAACATTTCACTTTTTTATCAAGAAAAGTTCATATTTTCGATACTTAAAACAATACATGCAAACAAAGATGTAAATACACAATACATTACTTTGGTTTCACATTTTATTAAAATTTGTATTTTCATTTCACAATTATACAAACAACACTTCAAACAAATAAAGACATGAAAAGAGTGACTTAGCATGTCTTTCCACAACAGCACCCACTTGATGCTTCTTTCTGGCATTGGCACACCTTCTTCTCTCCACACTTGCACTCACATGTGCATTTGCATCCCTCACAGCAACATTCACAGGTGATGGTCATCCCAGTTGCAAATGTCTTGCATTGGCACTTTCCCTCTTTGCAGCATCAGCAGCACTCACACTTCCCTTCAGCACCACATTTGCATTTGAAGTCACAGCAGCATTTCCCATCTTGGCAGCAGCACCCACACGTGATCGCTTCACTGCCTTCACATTTGCACTTTTCTCACACCCACAACTCATTGTCATGTTGCAATTCAGTGTGCTTTATATACCCATCACTGGCTTACAAAATCAAAATGGCCAATCACTTGAACTTTTGTGGTCCATCCACTTGGATAGTCAATTTAGTTTCGTTCTGATTGGTGGTTTGTCGTTAATAATTATAAATAATTATAATTATAATAATAATATAATTTATTACTTTATTATTAATAAAATAATAGTTTGATTATCTATATTAAAATTGTTTAATTAAATACTATAATTAAATGATTATTATACCATTTTAGAGTTTTAATAAAACACAAATAAAATAAGAAAAAATAGTTAAAAATTCTTAAAAGAAAGTAATTCCATGTTGCCATAAAATTCTTTCTCTTTCCAATCTCTCCATTTCTTGTATTCTATTGTGTTCATTTACCATTCTTTCGTGCTTAATGTCTTCTTCAACTTTTTTATTGATTAAGTCGTAGTACAATTCCATCTTACCAATATAAGATATCATGACAATTAAGTCTTTTGGAAGGTTAATGTCCTTCTGTTCGAATTGATAATTCAGTTCTTCGGTATGATCAAATGCTTTATAATCTTTATAAGTCCACACAAACACATTGTTCTCATTCTTCACACATTTTCCATGGTCGAAAGAAAGTCCCATTTTATCATACTTTTTATTAAAGACGTAATTAAACGTCAACCGATTTCCAACGGCATTTTCACCAAGTTTCGCCTTCACTTCAAATCCATTTACCGTTTTATTGACTACAAACGACTCGTCATCGTTATTTAATGTGACACAATCTGCATATATCCCAACAAATTGGTCATATCTTTCTTTCATAAAATCATTTGATAATCCTTCAATATTTGTAACACAAATTTCTTTGAAATTTTGTCCTATTCGATCTCTTAAGAACTCAAAAATTGCATTAGACATGATACTGTTTTGCTTATAATATCGCTCTTGCTCTTTCATTCTCTCGAAATACACTCTGAACGTCTCAACAAACATCGTCGAATCAATTTTTGTCTCAATTTCACTAGTAGTGAGATGGTCAGTGTATTTGCATATAGGAACGGATGCTCCAAAATAGTTGAGTGATGGGAATACTTTTGGTCTGTCAAGTTGGTATCCAGCAAATGAAATAATACCAGAAATTGCATTCACACAACTTTTCAATTGTATTTCATAATTTCGTTTACTTTCTGTTATACCAAAGTTGTTAACAATCCATCTCATATGTGTCCTGTAACATTCATTTTCATTCGTTTTAAAATCAAAATTTGGTTTTGAGTCCAAGTCTGTTATTGTGTTAATCATTAAGATGTTGTACTCATATTGACTACTCCAATTTTTGCATAGCAAATAATTGACTATTGAATAGTTTGTGTTGGTAAGTAAAACTCTGTAGTTGTATGCCATTTTGACTTCCATTGTCCATATACTTTTAATTTCTTCTGTGAAGTGTGATTCATAATCCCATCGGTAACGAGGACATTTGATCCAGATATCATCGCTTTGTGGTGTTCTGTTAACGATTGCTACAGTTGATGTGATTAAATTGAAAATGTTTGGAATGAAGCCGAAGTTCTCTTTGTTCAATAGTGTAGCATTTACGTTGCGACTAAATTCGATGACCTCATCAAAGAAGGCGTAATTGGAGAGCAAAAATTGTGAGACGGCATTCAACGTGAACAATTTGTTTTTCGACGATGTTAGAGAGACTCCATCTGATAATATCGGCTTGTACATATTCAACATGTTTTCAGTGTACTTTGACTCACTTTCATACAACACCAAGTTGTTCTTATCCACAACAGTTTCATTCATTGATTGTCTCACATATTCAGTGACTATTGGGTCGTGTGTAATATCATAATCTTGTGTTGCCAATGTTCGTATGACTGATTGCAATTTGAGTACCAAGTTGTTGTTGTAATTCAAATACACTTGATGAACGTTGTCAAGAGTATTCATAAATCTGAAATATTGAACTACACTGCACGCCTTGATCAACATCACTGAGTTGTACAGTTTGATTTCATCTTGGAGAACTTTTGGAAGCTCACTGTATTTCAAGTCAAAGAACTCAAACGCAACTCCAAGCGAGTATAAGATCTTCTCCATCTTAATCACAAATTGGCAGGTTCTCCACAACTTTTCTCGTTGACTTGTTATGTTTTCAAAATCCAAAAATTCGACCAAATTGATCTTTGCGATCAACGCATCTTTCAGTGAGTTTTTGGCTTCATCGTAGTAACCCTCCTCTTGTAAGCCAAAGACGGTCTCCAACTTTTCTAAAAAGTCCTTTTTCAGATGATTAACAATTTCAATGTTTTTATCAGTGAATGTGTAATTTCCATTGTAGCAGAAGTTGAAGTACTTTTTCATCAAAGTGACCATTTCTGGATTTTCATCTTCGTTGTCTTCTGTGAAATAATTTTTGAAATGACTTTGGAAATTAACTTCTCTGTAATCCAAAAGTGCATTTTCCTTTTCAATTTCTTCAGGCTTTTTGTCTTTGCTTCTTGCCAACATAAATTTCTTCTTCAATTCCTTTGTGTCTCGTTTGTTGTTTTCAAGCAATTTAATAATTTTCTCAAATTTAGTCTTATGGACTACAGCGTCAAATTTGGGGTGATATTGCTTATATCGATGTTCGGAATAATACGTCGCACTTTCGGCTCCCAACAACAAAATGATTTCATCGAAACTGAATTTGTTTTCAAGAGTTATTTTGTTGATGTTCTCATAAAGACTTTTTATACGCAGAATATCTTTGTTGTCGACTGATACAAACGTTTTAGTGAAGAGATATGCTTGTTTCACTATAACTGCTATTTTCGAATATGGATGAATGAACGAAGGACTTTCATGTGAAAATTCTCTTTCAAGGAAATTGGCCAAGTTTTCCAAATAATACCCTTCATTGTTATATTCAAAAATTTTCTTTGCCATTAACTGTCTTTCGGCTTCTTCAGCTTCTTCCTTTTCTTTTTTTTCTTTCTCAAGTCGATCATTTTCAATTTTCTTTTGTAAATTAATAGTGTTAATTTTTTCACAAATAGCGTCGAGTTGTGGTTGTGTTGTTTCAACGAAATTAAAAACCTCTTCATTTTTTGGATTTGTTTGCACAAGTCTGTCTCTCAAAGTGTTGCAACTGAATGGATAATACGTTTCATTCTCTATTGATGCAAGTGTTTCTATAACATTTTGAAAATCATTTTTCAACTTATTGCCATCGATATTATTAGCTATGTTTTTGACCATTTTGGCTTTTCGTTTGCTCACATTTTTCATTCTTGCAATAATAAGATTAAAACATTCTTCTTCTATTGTTCTGTCCAGTTTTATCAAATCATTTTCATAAAAATATTCGGCTTCATCAAACAGCTTTTTGTATTGAATGTATATCTTTTGAGCTTCTAAGTAATATTCTCTTGATATCACCGGATTGGTTTGGATGTTTACTTGAATCATGTCAATGTTATACAAATAATCTTTGTTCACTTTGTTCAACATTTCTTTCTTTGTTTTACATTCCAAATTGAAAGCGTCAATTTTGTCACAAATCGAGTTAATATTTGGTTGTGTCGTTTCTATAAATTCAAACGTGTGGACAAACGTTGCATCGACTTTTTCAAGTCTTTCTTTCAAATTGATGCAGCTGAATGGATATACATTATTATCTTCAATGTCTTTGATATTTGTTACAACTTGTTGGAAATCTGTTTTAATTAAGATACCTTCACATTTGTGAGCTATTTGCTTTTCAATCTCTGATACTTTTTTCTTGACATCTTTCATTCGACATAAAACCAAATTGAAACAAGCTTCTTCTGTTGTTTTGTCCAGTTCCATTAAATCGCTTTCATAAAAATATTCGGCTTCATCAAACAGCTTTTTGTATTGAGTGTATATCTTTTGAGCTAACAAGTAAAATTCTCTTGATATCACCGGATTGGTTTTTAAGACCTTATTGGCATTTTCACAGTTAGATAAATATTTTTTGTTATAAACACATACCTTTTCTTTGCTTTTGACTAATTGAGAGTTGTTACTTTCATTTTCAGTGTTGTCATCATACAATTGAGCTATTTCATACACGCTACTATTGGTGTTTTTCATTTCATCCAAATAATCAATAAAGTACAGACCACCGACTCCATTCACTTGCCCATTCATATTCTCTTTGGCTTCATTCAGTTTTTCTGTGAATTTGGACGAGTCAAAAGCAATTTTGGCTGCTTCTGCTTGTTTGATTGGCTGTCCCACAAACATCAGATACCACTCACAGAGTACTTTGGATATATTCTTCTTCACTTTTTGTTCACACGTTGCAACC